AGCCAGGAAGAGCTGGGAGGGAGCTTTTAATCACTACCATTGTCACGGTCTAATCTTAAGCTAGTCGCCTCAGACTGCAGCTGGGCACTGGAGAAGAAAATGAGCGATGCTGGCCTGGCAGTCCCACTTTGGGAGGCTGAGCCAGCTGCTCAAGCTGTTCCTTCATGGGCATCCCAGCTGCCAGGGGGAACCTGGGCTCTCTGTGCAAGTGATATCCAGATGTGGGCTCTGTAGTACTCTGCCTCACAGTAAGCAATCCCAAACTGGGATCTTGGCACTCCTGGGAGCCTATGGGAAATGCTGTCTGACTCCAGGCTGTGGTTGGAAACTTCTCCGAGTGTTTAGTGCTGGTGGTTGGAGGCCCTCTGACATTGCGAGCAGTTGCTTGGAAAAATAGCTCTTCTGTTTTTACTGAAGCCTCATCTGATGGTTTTGAAGTGTCAGGTTTGTTTTCCTCCTGCTCTGCCTCCTCACTCTGAGCTAGCAGCTTCAGCATTGCTAGGGTAAAGCAAGCTGCCTCCTTGCTCCTCTCAGTCTGCTCTCATCCCCTCCAGCTTGTGCCCTGTGGCACAGCCTGCCATGCTGGCTTGGGGTGCCTGCTTGCGCTTCTCCAGCCCTTGCGAGTGGCAGGAGAGGAGGGGAACGGACACGCCGTGGCTTTCTGTGCTTGTCTCGACCAGACTTCAGCAAAGAACACCCTTGACAGGCTCTAAGACATGAAGCACTGCAATGTCATGTTGTCGGAGTTAAATAAGGGGGAATTTCAAACAAATAACAAATTGATTAGCACAAGTGGTGCAGTGGGTGCTCATTTGCTCAATCTCAGGTTCACCTGGCTTTCCCTTTTTTGTCTTTGGTTTGCAAGGCAGAGTGGGACTTGTAGTGGAGACACCAGAAGGTGTCAGGCGTGATGCTGTCTTCCTGCAGCTGGAGGAGAAGCACTTGTGAGTCTGGGCACTGGGACAGATGGGTGCTTAGACCTGCTCGGGCATCCATGTTGGTGGGCTGTGCTCATCAAACGATTGATGCTGGCACTTATCTCTGAAACCTGAGAATGTCTTGTTTTGTTTCAAGCTGCTCTGGGCTCTGCAGGCCCTGCTGCACTGACTGACTTTCAGGCTTTTTTCCTTTGGGGCTCTAAGGAGGGGAGTCTCCCTATGTCCCCTGACCCTGGGGGTGTCTGTGGGTCTGGGTCCCTGTTGGTGCTGCAGGGAGGGGGCATGGCGCAGGGATGGCAGTCGTCTCCTCACTTGTTGCTAGCAGGCCCCTTGCACACTCACTGCCTGTCAGCTTGGCAAAGGCGCCAGGTTTTTTTTCCCCCAGCTAAGCTCCTGCT